GTGAGTGCAATGCAGTAAAGAGCAGTCTCAAAGCAGCAGACTTGTATATGAGTCAGATCACAGAAGAAAAAGAAATTCAGAGTTAAATTTAACTGTTTACATCAGTTCAATTACAGAGATCACAGAGAACAAACTATCTGAAACATCTGCAGATGTGTGAAATCAAGTTATCTTAATCTCTGAGAATGCTCAGAGGTTGAGTGAGATTAGTTTCAATGAGCTGTTCACTGTAGTGATCTGAGCAGGTGAAGAGAGACAGTATAATGTATGAGACAGAATTATAAAAGATGAAAGCTGCTGAATCTAGTCACTGAACACTGTATCATATAGAGGTTGTGTAAGAGTAGTAGCTAGCAGATAAAGAAAAAGCATAAGAAAAGAGATAATGAATTGATCATCAACTATAAGAATTGACTGTAAAAGACAAATGTTATCATACACATCTTATTCATTTTCATACATCACATATTTAATCTATTTCCAACACCACATCATCTGAAAAATGCTAAAAAAGGAAATCTCAAAACTCGAGATCTGCAAGGGATTTGAGGGCTGCAAGCTGCTCTTATAACAATGCTGTGCACATCTCTGATTCCTCTACTGCTCTGCATATAACATTAATGTCATTTATCACAAGATTGGCTGGAATGTCAATATAGAAATGCACACGCGTATGTGTAGAGAAATTGAAGAAGAGTGTAGAACCCGCAGGATCAGTAGCCAGAACAGAGAGAATAGAGGTGAAAGAAACAGAAAGAGAAGAAGACACAGGATCAGATGAACAACAGAAGCCACCTGAGGCTGAACACTTATAACTCAGTGTGCACACAACCTTCTCTGCAGTGAAGAAAGAGAAAGTAACAGAAGAAGCTTAAGAGCAGAAGAATCAGACACAGAGAGAAATGTGAGAGACTCAGTCACACATGACACAGATAATTTCTTCATTATCATGTTCTTCAAGTTCTTGATCAATGATTTAATATTGAGTTCACTATTATCAGCAGATACAGATCTGTCAATATATGAAGATTCTACATGAATAAAAACAACATATCAGCATCTGCATTCATGCAAAATCATGCCAGAAAACACAATCAGAAACTCACTGAGAAGAGAAACAGTTGAGAGTGTATGAGAAGATGAAGAGAGTGTATAAGAAGATGAAGAAGATGTGTCATTCATAATAGTACATTCTGGCAATTATTAGAAGATAAACAAGTTCTGATCACATTTCATAACATATTACACTTACTGCTAACAAACTGCAGTATGAGCACTATGATGATGCTTGTTGTGGAAATGAAGAGTCATTGCCAGAAACATATACAATATGATAGATGAACAGATGAAAAGAGTTGAACAGAAGAAGAAATAGAAATCTTGAATGAGATGATAATGTTCAATAATGACAATGATGAAGATAATGATTGAAGAATGAGAAAAGTTAGTGAATAAGTGATGTAATATAGTAGAAGTTTCTTTGTGAGAGTGTATGTGAGATGCTAGCTGAATCAGAGATAGATCATACAATTGTGAAACACTAGTGATGAGCTAATCCGCATGAAGCTAGGGTGTATAACATGGTCACATGGGCGTGACTGAATCTGATGAGGAAGAATGTGATTCAGAAGAATGTATGACTGTCGGATAATAACACAGTCACTTCTGAACTACTAGTGTACGCGTACAAGTGTAAAGGGGTCATAGTGTACACTAATTAATTTAGCGTACGAGATTATAATATAAGAAGCCGGCGTACGCCTGTAATCGTACGCTGGCTTAAGCAATCTTTGAATCACATCATCATCTTTATCTATAATGTGACTCACTAGAATGTCAGAGTCAGATATGATATCAAATCTCAGATTAAATTGATATCTTGATCTTGTTCTCTCATAGATTGCTACTCTTGATTTTATCTCAGATTTTTCAGGAAGAAAGCAGTAATAGCTTGAATGAGAAATAATGTACTTTTACTCAGTATCAAAGTTTGGTTCTTGAAGAAGTACAAAGTCAACTTTTTATTCAAATGCAATCTGAAGATAAGAATAAAAACAATTTGAGTTTCTATTCATATTGTTTTGAATAAATGTGATTTTTGAAGAGTTTTTAAACTTTTTTTATTGTTTTTGTTGTACATTCATACTAAAAGAGAGTGAAGATATAGTAGAATCTAATCACTATCACCAGATAGTAGATTATAACTATTTTGAAAAGCAGGAATCTCAACTGCTTGCATTCTATCTAGTTTATTATCAGAGTCATTTCTCAATTCTCTAATCTTAACAGGTGTTTGAGGATTCAAATTCTGTTTACATTTAGCTGGAGAATTGAAGTTTGAAGACCTAGATAGTTGAGAGTTTCTTCTTTTTGAGCTTGCAGTTGTGAATTTACTAGCTTGACTTTTCTCTTCAGTTTTAGATTCACTTTGAGCTTCATCTTTTCTCCAGTTCTTCTGAGTTCTTGAAGCAAATACACATTCTTTTGAGCTAGATGCATGTTTTTCTTTGCAATTGAAGCACTTAAGCAGAGTATATTGACATATTTTACCTCTTTTTGAGCATGTTTCATATTTATGCTCACTAGTTTTGTGATCTCTAGCACAGAATGCGCATTTTGAGTCTCTGAAACAAGAGATTGCAAAGTGTTCATATCTTTGACAGTTTGAATACTGTGTTTGAGCTTTGAGATTCATTCTTGAATCTTTGTATTCATGAACTCTCATTTTCAAACCTGCTACTCTTACTTCAGAGATTCTTGATTGTTCAAGTGTCTTTGTATACACTAGAACAGAGACATTTCTTCTGCTCTGTCTGAACTCAATTGAATTAAGTCATACAGGCTCTTTTCTCAGTTGAATAGAATTGTATTCTTCTAATTCATTTTTGAGAAGCAGCATTCCTTTCTCACAGTCAAAAATTTCAACTGGAATATCATGAAGAATGAATTTGTCTCACTTTTCATCTCTTTCAGATAGAATTGTTGTATTCAGTAGAGATTCTATTGCTGATTTTCAGAGATTCTCATTCTGAATGAGGAATTCTGTACTGAATTCAGGCATTGTAGTCAAAATAATAGAGTTTTCAAAGAAAGATGGCTCAATTGAAGCTATGACTGATTTTTGAACTTCAATATCAGTCATTAACTGAGAAAAGAACTGCTGATTAATTTCATTTCTAATTCTGAAAATAAGATTTGAGTTTAGCTTGTTTTTTTGCAAGCTCTTCTGATTTGAGACTTTGAGAATAAGTCTTCTGTTTCTGAAGATTTGAAAGTTCTTCTCTTTTTGCATTTCTTTTTTTTCCTTTCTATGACTGAAGGTCTGAGAAATATTCTTCTCAGTTTTCTCAGAATTTTGAGCAGATTTTGAACTAGCAGGTTTGAAGACAGCAGATTCTGCTACTTGAGCATATGTTTTCTTCTGATTTGAAGAAGAAGAAGATGAAGAAGTAGAAGATGAAAAAGAGTCAGTGACTGTACTGAAAGATTTCAATGTTTTTTGAATTGTGTTTGAAATTCCAAGTTTGAACTTGATCACTTCTTGTAGTTGTCTAGCCTGAGTATGAAGAATTAACAGAACTTCTTCATTCTTCTCACTCAGACACTGTTTTTCAAGAATTTTGCTTGCTTTTTCCAGTTTCTGTATTTCAAGAACTTGTTGTTTCTCTATTTCTTCCTTCTTTCTTCTCTTTAGAATTTCAATTTCAGGAATGGCATCTGGGAAAACATCTTTTTCCACATCAACTGAGTGTACTCTTGCACTCATTTTACTCACTGAATGAAAAGTTGGTCAGACTGTTTCAATTGAGAGATTTATCAGTATATTTTCACATGAAAAGTTGGTCAGACTGTTTCAATTGAGAGGTTTATTAATCTATTTTCAAATGAAAAGTTGGTCAGACTGTTTCAGTTGACAGATTTATTAGTCTATTTTCAATTGAAAAGTTGGTCAGACTGTTTCAAAAGAAGAATGAAAGACTTTTGTGTATAAAACACCTGATTTTTTTCACACTAGTTCAGTAACTAGGTTAGATTTTTGAAGAGAATCTAATAAACTAAAAGTGATTTTTAAGATAAATCAATAAAATCTTTACAAACTCTTTCTTGGAATACAGTGAGGAAAAGTATGATATCAATTGATAATAAATCAGATGATATGACAGTTTTTGAGAGAAAAACTGACAAAAAATAAGTCAATTTTTTGCAGAGAAATTGATTAAAACTATTCAATTTTATTCTAAATCATTCAATTCTCCTCACACAACAAGTGTGCAACTCAAATCAGTCAATAAAGAGTGTAAAAGAGAATTAAGTATTAATGAAAGCTCTTCAGCCACTGAAAAAGTAATTCTTACTTAAAAGAATATGAAATTATGACAGAAAACAACTCTGTTTTTAATTCTTTATAAGAATATTGTGTAAAACCCAGAGAAAAACACCTTACTTTTTCAAGAGAAGTAAAAAACTATTTCTAAGATCTTTTTTTTTTATTGCATTAATTTGCAGACAAGCAAGGAGGACCTTCTCAGTCTTGATGAAATTTATCAATACTTGAAGCTCTGAGACTCTCACTCTGTACTGCTTGAGCATCTAGACTTCTTATCAGAGCTGACACAACATCTTCCTGTGAAATAATACTTACAGAGAGACAGGAGTCATCATTATAAACATAATGAAAACAACAGAAGTGAGAGAAGAGATAAGTGTATAAAATTCTTCTCTTCTTCAGCTGCTTAGCACAGTGCAGATAAGTAGCAGTATTAGTCAGAGACTGTATCAGAGTCTTTTCACAGAGAGAAGACAAAAGAACTGCAGAACTCTGTGAACTCAACTTAGCAGCATTCTGAGCAGAGCTCAGACATGTTATAGAAGAGAAACTACAGATTGAGCTTCTCAGAGTCACTGTCTTCAGAACTAAGCTCTTTTCAGATTTCTCTCTGAATGACTACACAGAGTCATACATCACTGTGTTGACTGAGAAGAGAGACAGTGTCACAATAATGATGAGAGAGGCAGGGAAAGAATCAGACATAGACAAACTGACTGGTAGAAGAGATGACATCTCACTGCAAGGCATGGCAACTACTGCTGCAGCTGCAAAAGAAGCAGGAGAAGAAGAAGAAGATATGAAAATGAGAGCAGTGCTCTCGCAGCTCAGTGACATCACTGTCTTCACCTTTAACCTGGCTTTCTTAACAGTCATGGAGGCTGCAGCTGCATCATGAAGACATTTATTACTTACTAGAAAATGTCAGAATAAGTCTCTTATTATTCTTCAAGAATGATACTTTCATACACTCACTATTGCAATTGAGAGAAGAGAGAAGAAAAATGTTTCACAGAGAAGAGAGATCTTTTTGAAAAATCCTGCTACTACTGTTAGCTTTGTCTCTAAAACACATTACTTTTGCAGGGAATTTTATACATAGAATAAAATATGATGAGAGATCTGTAAGTCACTTATTAACTATGTTTTTCATATTTTAAATTAATATATAAGAAACTCACTTATCATGTGTTTAATTTGAATGATGATGAGAAAAGAAAGATCTACACAGTCAGTAGAAAAACTCATCTATTTCTTTGTATTACACACAGTATATATACTGTCAATTGATTGATAACTGTTGCTATACAATAAAGATAATTTCTAATTCAGTAATCTTGAGAGTATAGAGACTATACTCTTAAAGAAGAGAACATTGTCACACTCTCAGCTGTATTAAGACTCTGTTGTGATTTCACACAGCTTATTACTTTCATGTGAATAATTTTATTCTGTATGAACCAGTTTTCAATCACTCTATAATATTATTCAGATATATCATAGAAAGATCTGATTGATAAATATGAAAATCCTGCTTCTATACAAGATCAGCAGATTACTCTTTCTTGACAATGAGATGCTGCTGAGGTATTGCTCCAGCTATTCTCACTCATGAAATGAGAGAAGAATATCTGCTCATTATCTATATAGAATAGCTAGATACTGGCTTCTCATGAAAAGAGTCAGTAATTTGTTTTTCTACTACTGAAATATATATGAGAGTTACTGCATGTCTCATACAATCTTCTTAGTATACTAAGTATTATATCTGTGATATTCTCACAATAACTCTGTAGCCTACAAGCTCACTATTTAAGCAAGATAGTTAAGCTCACTTATACAGCTTCTCAAACAACTATCTCTATATAACACTGCTGACTAGTCATCACTTTAATTCTGCTATGTTACAAATCAACTGATCTGAACTCTGAGTTCTGTGTTATCTGAAACAGTGACTCTTGACTGATGAGAACTGCTTCTCAAAGAGAAGAACTAATGTGATGAGCTGTATCTGATCAATTATATAGACTATTCTGTTACACTTAGACTGACTGTGTGACCGTGTCTGAAATCAAAACTAGATTTTTTGATAGTTTCATTATCAATTTGACTGATCTCATTACATGGTTTTAACATTAGATAGTAGTCTCATACTGTTTCAGTGAGACTTACTGTCTACTCTTGTCACATTTTTCAAATGAGATCATGATTTTCACTTCTCAATTTAAATTATTTTTATTACTTTAAATAACTTTAAATCTCATTTGAGTGTTATCAAAAAGTGTTACTTTTTAAAAAATTAAAAATAGTCTAAAAAAAACCTTAAAATGTCTAAAAATAGTAACTTTATATCAAGAATGAGACTAAATGAAATCAAATGAGATCACTTTCTTATTTTTTTCAAGTCATGGTTTCATTTTAAGATCTGATATATAGTCACTTTACATGTTTTTTTAATAGCCAGTCCCAGCGGGATTCACGCCAAGAAATGTATGAGATCAGACTAAATGAAATCAAATGTGAAATTCATGGTCTCAGCGGCCAGTTTAGTTACACTTTACAGATTTCAACTGCTTCATTCTCAAATGTGTACACTCTGATTCACAGTCATTCTTGATCACTGATTCTCAGCCGCTACAAAAACATACACTTCAATTCTCAGTCATTCTCAATCACTGATTCTTGATCATTACAAACATGTATAGATTCTTCCACTCTGAAGCTTCACTGCATACATCATCATATACATATATAAATATTCACTTCAATCACTGATTCTCACACTTTCTCTTTCTTTTCCTTCTCTAACATTTTTCTCTTTGTTATATAAGACCTATCAATATAATACTGATCTATTCGGCGTAGGCCTCTTATAATCTAGTAGCTATTATCTTTTCTAGAATTTTTCTCAAACAGTTTAACAGAGATATTACTCTGTATGACTTAGAAATTAATGCTTTTCTATTAGGTTTTGTAAGAATTACTTCAGTAGCTTCTCTTCAGCATTCAGAATAATAATCATTTTTTAAGAGATTGAAAAAGAGCTCAAAATATTCATTCTTCAAGTAGAAATATATGTTTTAAATAATCAAGTGATTAATTGAATCAGACTCTGCAGCAGTTTTAATTGAACTTGAGAATATTACTAACTCTAGTTCATCACATGTAAGCTCAGAGCATTCTCAGTTATTTTCATCAATATATTCATGAAATGACATATTCTTCTCTTCTAAATATGATGAGTTTTGGAAGAGAATTCTTATAAAAGCTTGATATTTTTTCTCAAAAGAGTTTGCTGTATACAATTCATTCTGAAATTTATATTCTAAGATTGAAAGCTTTACTACACTTCTTAATTTAGTATAGTTGAAGACTTTAAAAACTTCTTTTTTTCTTATACTTCTTCTAGAAATTTGTTTCTGTAATCTGTTTTAACTCTTTTAATATCTGAAAAATATTTATTTTGAATAGTTTTGAACTCTTTATTAGATATTAACTTATTGTTTCAATCTCTCTTAGCAGTGACTAATTACTTTCTTTCAGAAGTGATATTCTCATTTCATCAAGATTTAAAATACTCAGAAGACTTTTTCTTTGAAATATTTTCTTCAATATTTATTAGAAGAATAGATGTAATCAGCTTTACTCTATTCTTAAGTATTTCATTTGAGATATCATGACTTTGATTTCAATAGAGCTCACTCTGTCTTTGAGATTTTAGCTGTTTTACTCTTTCTTTAACTGCTTTTTAATCAGCTCTTTCAAAGTTATACTGATTAGAGAGAAGAGGATTTTCACTTCTTTATTATTCACACAGTTTAATATTAAATTGAATAATCTCATGACTCAATTCTGAGGTTTCATTTGAATTAATAAATCAGTTTATAAGTCTTTTTTCAATTAGATTTTATGATATTAAAGTTGAATCTATAATGAATTTCTGTTTCATCTCTTTTCTAAAGAATGTTTATTGATCAGACTTGTTAACTAAATCTATTAAATACTTAAAAGTTCATTTAATCAGTTTATCTACTCTTACTACTCTTATACACTCTGAGTTTTATCAGAGATAATATGCATTGAAGTCTTCTACAATTATAGAGTTTTTTAAGAGAGTTATTGTAAGAAATCCCGCTTCTCACAGATTCTTTACCTCTATTTCTATCTCTTGCATAATCAATAGGGCTAGCAGCCCTTGGCTACACACAACTATATAGACTGGAGTTCACGAATACTATTCATAACTCAGCTTGAATACTATTATACATTTGACCTCTATATTTTATCTTTCTACTGTGAACACTTCTAGTAGTTAACAGTACATATCATGTCAAGCTGTAAACACTCAAATAATTGTCTATGAGCACTTATTCTTACATTTCAAGCTCAGTCAGTCAGCAATCACCTGTTATGACTGAAAGAACTAGAAACTTATATACTCTCACCTCTATAAACTCTACTGCAGACACTCAGAAGCAGTCATCTGAATCATGAATAATCTCTGTGAAAGAAGTCTCAGAGAACTTATCAATCACTCACAGAACATCATTCTCTGCATCTCAGACAGAGGAACTCTCTGAACTCACAAATGAATCAATCTCAGTGAAGAACATTCTTGAGCATCTCTCACAGAATCAAGCTATTTTTCTATAAGAAATACTTACTATCTATAAACACTCTTAAACTAAGTTTCTAGACATGATCTTCAGAGATACCTGCAAACTGAAAAGAAACTTTCTTAAGTTACAATCACTTAAGATTATCTATTAAATCACAATCTATAAAAGCTTTTGCAAGTTTACATTTGAAATTGACTCATAAGCCTGACTGTGTGATATAAAAGATGAAGAAGCTGTTATCTATATAATGACAGGTCTCTATTACACTGAAGTCAAGAACTGGCTGAATTATCTAGAGAATGATTATGAGAGATTCTGATAATCTGTTCTCAAGATCTATCTAGAGAATAAGTTAAGAGACTTCATAAGCTGAACAGAGAACATCTGAGCTGTGATCATCAATATTAGAAAAAGAGATAAGAAATCTGATGAAGACTACTCACAGTACTTTATAAAATTATGATGCAAATTGAGATCTGTAAAAACAGAGCTCTGAAACAAGATCTGAATGATGATATTCATGAAGAGACTGAATAAAGATATACAGAACAAGCTCATTGAGTAAGACTCTAAGTTCTTGATTCTGAAGAAACTGATAACTCTTATTCACTGCTTACAAATCACTGTGAGAGTCACAGATCTATGAAGAGTGAATCACTGATCAGCTCTGTGAGAGCTAGAATAACAGAGAACAGATTTGTTAGAAAAAGATGATAAGATATAGAGAGATTTATATCTGACTACTAAGCAGAGAGAAAGAGCTTCACAAGCTTCTGTAAATAGAGTGTATAACAGAGAGATCAAGAAAAAGAGACTTTACTTTATCTATTCTAAATCAGAACATCTTCACATAAACTGTTCAGATAAATCAAAATAGAAATTTAAGAAGTCATAGACAGAGTCAGCAACAGCCTTCTTAAGAGTCTTGAAGCTGATATCTGAATCTGTTACTTTTCTAATGAAAATGCTTACTCATAGAGAGAGATCACACTGCAGTACTGCTGTCTCACAAGTATGAGAAGTATTGATGAACTCAGAATCTCAGATCACTGTGATGTCCCTAAAGCTTGCAGAGTAAATGAACTGAAAGATGAAGACTGAGAACCTGCTCTTATAATAAGCAGAGTATGAGAACTCAGACCTGAGAGCTGAGAGACTTATAAGAGTCATCTTTGAATTACAAGATCTCTCTGAAATCTGAAGAAGATTTACAGAAACTGTGATTATCATGAACATCACAGATGACATGTATTTAAGACTTATATAACTTTAAAGACAT